AGTGCCCCCCTGAAGCAGTCTGAAAATAGAAGGGAGCAAGATGAATCCGGTCTTGGGGCTTCTCGTTCGCTATCTATTCAAATATCGTTGCCGCCAAACTACGAAACACGCGATTCCATAGGAGGTAATGGAGGCGTTAGCCACCGACAATCGACCGATGAACACCATACACCCTCTCCGTACGCTCGACCGGCAACGTTAGTTGCAAGCTTCATGAGAATTGTTGAGAATGTGAGAATGATTCAAATTCAAGACATAGACGAGTTCCCCGAGCCTCTTGATTCGGAATATGCCAGAGCTTGCGCAGAGATTTTCGAATATCTGGGTGAAGCACATGCTCCACTTCCACCAGGAAAGCTCCAGATACTTCGAGGCCAGATCGAAAATGACGGCTCTCCGACGCCTTGCATTCGGATAATACATCGAGACTTCGGAAATAAGCAGAAAATGATCAACTTCCACCTAAGGTTTTCTAGACAACGCAAACGCTACGACCCGCCCTTTACGATATGTTACCAGAATCTGTCTAACCTCTCGTCGATTGGTGATCCAGTTTCGATGGCCTGGACATCTCGTGAGGAGTCTCTATGTGGTCGTCTAATTGAAACTGGCGCTGGCAAGAGACAGGTTTGGTCAACAATCGGCGGTTTGCTTGAAGTAGGGGGAAAGCTGTATGCATTAACAGCATACCATTCGCAAGATGGCGAGTTTGGCGAGAGCTCTATCCCATCAACTCAAGATATCTTGGAAGGTCTCATTGACCGCAGCGATGTCAATTACGATATTGATCCTCCAACGGCAGTCGCACGGTACGAAGGCCAAACCGAGTTTCAAGAAGAGTCCGTGGAATCGACGGAGAAGTCTAAGATCGACTTCTCGGCTGCCGCAGGGTCGATATTAAGCACAGGATCTGATTGGGCCCTGGTAGAGCTAGATGATGACTCTATGAAGCTACCCACCTGGCTATGGTTTGACGTGAATCAGGATACCAAGGATCCTGATGCAAAACAACCCGCCTCGTCAGTTGTTCCTAGATATCTCACGAGTGTCATGCCACCAGCAACAAGCACTCAAGTACAAACTGCCATTGTGATTGCTGGTGTTAGTGGTATGGTGACTGCCACAATTTCGAGGAAGCTGTCTCAAATGAGACTTGATTCTGGCATACTTGTTAATGTTTGGACACTAAGTTTTGATAGTTTCAAAGGTGGGTCTTTTTTGTGGCGTTATAAACTTCAATGACTTGCGGCACGGGCTAACACTCTGGTAGGTCAGGATCTGAAGAAAGGTGACTCTAGGTCTTGGGTCGTTGAACCCTAGTCCGGTGCCGTTTACGGACATGTCATTGCCAGTTCACACCTCAATGCGTTCGTTCTACCCCTTCAGACGATCATGGATGAGATAGACACCGAGCAATGCCATTTGCCGACACCATTCGCGTGTTTTGCGAATCTCGCGAGGAACTACCGAAAGAGTAACAACACTGACTCCGTGGAGGAGTTTGCTGCTAGGGCCATGGCGGACGATGTTTTTCAAAGACGGATTCTCCGCAACACTAGTGACGCAATCGACGCGTGGCGCCATCAGACAAATTTGGAATCTCAAAAAGGCTTCGCAGGCCTTAAAAATCGCAGTATTACGAAAACTTCATTTCCAGACGATGCTTTCCAAAACGGCCCTTCTCAAAGCTTGCCTACGGAACCCCAATGCAGGATTTTTGAGTTCCCCGTTCATTCGAGGTATAGTGTTGCCCAAAGGCCACCGGGCCCACCAACATATAAAGAGGTGTCCTTTCTTGATAGAGACACACCTTTGGAGTCAACCCTCAACGTGAATCATATACATATTTCTGAAGACCATGTTGAGGCTAGTGTGTTCATACACTCATTCACTGTCATAATGCGGCTTCAGCTAACCCAAGTCGCCAAGTGGATGAATGTAAGTCTAATATCCACGGATGTAGTAGGAAGAAATGTCTCACTTCCGGATTGCAGTTCGTATTAGAGAAGCTCCGTGCCGATATCCGTTGCCAAGGTCACAAGAAATCATGGGAATCTTTGCAAAAGGGGCAAATACTTTCCCGACATATGAGATCCATCTGCGCTCTCATAGAAACTTGGTCCCCGTTTCCAGACTTGATGATTGCTGTAAGTATGAGGTGTTGAACAGACTGGTTCACAGTAACTCCAATTTGTGGCAGATACTAAGTTGTTAACAGATGCCGTTTTTGGACTGGGAATTACCGTCAAGAAGGGAAAGGGTCACATCACACGTTTTCTCGACGATTCAAAAACGGCAGGAAGCTGTTTTCGGACAGCGAAAAGAGCACAGCAGCCCACACAACCCCTCAAAACTAGGCCGTAGAAAAGGCGACTTCACACCGACAGCGCTTGGACGAGTGCTCCTTGACGCAGCATTTCTCTAGTAGAAGATGGCTCTTCATGCTGATCTACAGGTTATAAGTAAATCCCTGTTCAGCAGTCAACCTATTCATTTGCGTCGGACAATACAGCAGGCTTGCGCAAGTCCTCAGGTAGATCTTCATGAAAGGTTCGCAAATGAACAGCATTGTAGGAAAGATTTTCGAGCAAGCCCGATCATAGTGGGCCAGCTGTGGATGAGAATCACACGCGGGAACACAATTGTCACCTCATTCCCCAAGCGCTATGGCCGCGATCTCGCGGATCCTTCAAGTATCTACATGTCCATCCGGCGCAAGCTAGCTGACAGAGCCACCCACATTGCTATCGAGCCATACGACATTGCACTCGTTGTTATTGACGAATGCATTGGCGCATTTTTTCAACGACCGGAATCGCCTGCCGCCGAGCTCAAAGCCGTGCCACATGGTATCTCAGCCCTGACTCAGGATGTGGCCACGATTGTGAGTGAGCCCTAGTGGCGAGCCTACAGGACCTGTGTTGATCATGTACTCTGACATCATCATACAGGCTGACAAAACTTGCATTTTGAGGGAAGCACATCGAACTCTGTTACCATCAAGAAGTGCAGTCGCTTCATCTGATATACTGCTTCAGCTTCTGAATCTGCGCCTTGATATCGAAGAATTGATTCAGGATCTATCAATGGTAGCTCAAGTACTTGCTGAGCAGTCCACTTGCGTTGACGACTTCATCAAGATGGGGGCTCTAGTTGCAAAAGGCATCCAGCATGACAGACTACTGTCACCTGATTGGATTGAACCCCAGCTTATCAAGTCCCGAATCAACTCCCACAAATACGAAGTCAGGAGCCTTGCAGATACTGCGAGTGGGGTCCACAGAACAGTATGTCTTGTGACTGAGAAGCTTTGCCATTATTTAACTGCTGACTGGGCTTTGAAGATTGTTAGTTTGCTCCAACACGTACATCTCAAAACGTTACTCAAAGAGGGTACCGATTTCACAAGGAAATAAGTATGCTGCATAGCTTAGTGGCAAAAGAAGCCCGATTGAGAGAATGTTTTTTTAATGTACTAGGCATGTAGAGTCGATCAGAAGTCAACCTTCCTACCAACCCTTGTGAAGTTGGATTGTCGACGTATAAGCTGAAATAGGACCCAACCCTGAGAGACAAACTTCTACTCTTTTTTCAGGTCTTTCTTTTCCATTGTCACGATAGAGCAATGCTGTCAGATCCAAACCCGCTACGCTATTTTAATGCAAAGGCAATGGAGCCTTATGTGAACTTTTTTTGGCTTCATTGCATATGGTGAGTTTAGAGTTGATCTGATGATTCTTTCGTCATTCCCATAGTATGCTTCCCTGGCTTATTGTGCTCCAACTCAAAGATCTCCACGGCTTCTGGGACCAAGACGTCAAGACACTCGGTTCCATCGTTTGTGGCCAGGCCGATATCCGCGACATAGTCACCGACGACCTCCCCTTGTGGTTTGCAGAGCTGGATCCCTCGAAGATCAACTTTGGTGTTTTGCGCTTTACGGGCGCGGATACACGGTCACTGACCAGAGCTGCAACGACCTCGAGTGCTCTTTCAGGGGCCCTAGCAAGGCCGGCGTCTGCACTAACAGCGACGGAGTCATGTCGTTGGTCGAGATCGACCAGTTAATTGAGTAGAAGGGCTTGACACCGAAGTACATGTCAGACGCCATGATGAAGAAAATCACATGGGATGATCAGTGGTTAGGTACGATGATGCTGATACAATCAAGGAGAAGAAGGCGTGGGCAGATAATCAGTGTTTTGGTGGAACCATGGCATGGAGTGTGGACTTCAACTCAGGTGCCGGAAGGTAAGAAGCATTCTAGCAGCCTGGCATCAAATCTGGGTCGTCGATTCTGACAAACACCAGTGGCCTGGAACCTACAAACATTACGAACGGTACTTGTGGCCACACAAATGGAAACACAGTCTGTGGAGATTGGCCTCAGGGCAACTGTTGCTCAAGGTTCGCCTACCCTTTCATTGAATGCTTTGTCTGATCCAGGCTAAGCTGGGAGCGCTGCTCACTAACAACATATCTTCAGTGCTGGATGGTGTGGAAACAGCGATGCTCATTGCGGTAGCGGATGTCAGTCCGGCGATTGCATCAGTGGAGGAGAGACGACTGACGGAACGTCTGGACTAACACACAAGGGCACCATATGTGGGTCGTGGTCCCAAGGAGGCTGTTGTAGTCAGGCTGGCTTCTGTGGCAGGACACAAGCACACTGCAGCGAGGGTTGTCAATCAGGACCATTTGGATGGAGAGTCCTAGGTAACGAGGAGCGGATCGCAATCAATAGAGGCTCCTAATCTATCTATAGTGTGAAAGACTCTGCCTATGTGCAGATCATTTCGTATTTGATGAAGTGGAAAGCCCTGCAAGATATAATTCGGAGTCTCCACGCGTGCGGTAGTGCAATTGCATTTGAGTTCAGGGTATATGACTGTTGTATTGCTCTGGCAAAACTACTCTAAGTGCATGGTATCTCAAGAAAGAATGGAACCGTTGAAGGTCGTCCTCTTTACCGCATCTTTGCTGCTCATCCCAAATTGAGATTAGGAATGCTTAACACTGCCGTCGGGGTTGTACATCCTGGGAGGGTACTCGTAGGTGTAAGAGTCGTCCCTGGTGTTTCTCTTGTAACCCTTGTTGTCGATGTAAGTACCAGAGGAGGACTGGCCCTTAGACCCCCAGGCAAAAGAGTCATTCTTGGAATAGCCACCAGAGCCGTACTGGTTTGAGCCTGAGCCGTTATTGCTGCTGGAACCACCGCCGGAAGACATGTTGATGAAGTTTGGTGTTGAGGGTATTGTAAGGTTGTGGTGTAAAGGTGTCTATGAAATTGGTCTGCTCTCCACTCTTGGCCTTGAGTCCCTTCCAGACCGGGGTTGAAATACTGAAGTGGAGGTTTAGGCATCGTCAGTGAATATGGTGAACACTCCATAGAGACTTGGTTGCCTGTTGTGATGCCTGAGTCTAAGCTAACATTCACCGAGCCTACTTAATTCACCGTAAGAATCCGCCTAATATTTCTGCATTTCGCAGGACATCTACTAGGTAGTCTGTCTGGTGCCAGGGCTACCTTGTGTGATATGTACACATGGCATTCACCTATGCCTCAAGCTTCACCAGAATGGTGATAACCTTTCCGAAAGTCTTGTACTTGTCCCAGGCAGCCGATACCTCAGGCTTCTTGTATACCTCAATAGCTTGCTATTCAACTTGTTAGCTTCGTTCTCTCGAGACATCTGGAACTTTGTGGGTTCTTACATCTCTGCTGTCCCACCCAAGAACACCAAGGCCGGTCGTCGGACCGTCGTCAGCGCTTGCACCACCCATTGAATTGCCGCCGATCGCAGCAACAAGATCCATCCACGCCTGCTTCGCTCCTTCATGCTGGCTACCATCCGACAACTCGAGAAACGTGAACTGGGTCAAGGCCTTGGGCTTGTCCGCTGGGAATTCGCTGGTTTGGAATTTCCTGATCAACGGAGGTGCGCCCATCTTCGCTGCGGCTTTCTGGAAATGCTCCTTGGCCCACGCAGAGTCGGCGAAGGCCTTTTCGTCTTCTGCCGACGCGAATGCTAAATCACATGTTACTGGACTGTTCAAACATCTTACGTTGCATGACGAAATATGAGGTGATTACCCATGGTCTGGAAGAACTTAAACTCAGACACCGGTCCAAAGTTCTCTCCAATTACCTCGCCGCCGGAAACACCAAGAACACCAGGCTGCTTGGCGATGTCGCCCTTGATCGCGGGCCAGTGTCCGAGGAAGTCGTCCTTGTCGGCGGGAGGAATGTTAGGAGTAACGGCGACGATGTAAGGCATGTTGGAGATGATTGGTCTGACTGGAGTCGGGTTTGATGCTGAGTTGTGTTTGTGGTTGAGGTTATCGAAGATGATGTGAATGATGCTGCTAGTTGTGATTCTGTCGGGGTTATGTAGAGCAGACGGGGAGGAAGAGGCTTATATACATGCCCCTCCGGTCTCTGCTGCATGAATACAGAATTGTTCTAAGCCCGGCACGGCCAAAGCTTCCTATCCCGACACGGCGCTCGCCCGGAGCCCGAAGAGCGACACGGCATGACACCCATCAGACGGCGCAAGACAGACCGCGTCGTACAACTGACCCTTGGAGAACCCGAAAATACGACAGCAGATGCATGTCACACGTCAAATCAGCCTTGAGCAAAGCACCCACCCCCTCCCCGGCTGATCTCCCAGCGTGCCGGCATCGAATCACGGCTTCAGGGTCCATCATCCGAGATCCATGGTAGGATGGGATTAACCGCGCGTAAGACGTGTCGTGAATTGCCTCACCCCAGGATTTTGAAACCTAGACTGCATATGGAGCCGGGGCCGGGGAGTTGGCGATGTGGAGATTGCGTTTGCGCGGAGCCGGGGGTCGGCGGTCCGGCCGGCTCATGTTTATTCCTGCACTCGCTCTCGGGGTCTCGTCTGATGCCGTCGTTCATGCCCCCTCCACTGTGCCGAAAGTCTAAATGGCCCAGACCAGTATGGCTCAAGCGTGGCGGTGAGGGGTTCCGGGGACTTAAGGTTGGCCGGATTGAGAGGACGGCGAAGAAACTCGGCATAAAGATTCCTGAATCCGCCTTGTAATCCGTACTGACTGGGCTGGTTTAATGGTAGCGAATAGCATCACAAGTGGGTTGCCTCTGACAAACTCCACATGGACTAAGCCCATTGATGCCAATCGTGTTCATCTCGTATGATCGTCCAAGGAGCATAAGAATTTGATGCAGCCTTGCATCTCAAAGTGTTCCTGTCTCGGTAGTATTCAGACTCAGGCACGAGACGGGAGGATTTTCAGGATCAAAGTATCGGATATTTTCGTCCATTGTACTACACTACACGAGATGGATGGAGGTCATAGCTTCGACCCTCGAAGAGGTAGGTTGAAGATGATCTCCGCCAGTTTATCTGGCATGCTCAACATCGGAAAGTGCCCTGCCGGTAAACTTTCCTCTTTAATCTCGAAGCCACGCTCTCTCACTCTGCCCACCAAGATCCTCTGTGCGACCACAGAAAACAAAGCATCCTCTTCGCAGTAGATGTACGTTGTGTCAATGCCTTCGTAAGCCTTCCTTTTGGTGGCGTAGTTTGCGCACGCTTTGGGGAAGCGCGTCATCAAGCCTGCCCATTTCTGCTGGTCTTCCTGCGACAAATCCGAGTAGAAGAGAGCGCCCATGTCATAACCTTGGGTGAAGCATATCAAACTCCCCTTCAAAAGTCAGAGTAAATCATACAGTGAAGCTAGTGCAGTGGCTTACCTCGACAGTCTGCCACGGCAGCAACTCTGGCGGAGCTATGTCATACATGGTCTCATTCCCCTCCATGATAAAGGCACAGCAGTACACGAGCCACTTCACGCCGCCAGCCTTGCCCTCGGCTGCTCGAGTCTTGACGCCAAACCCGGCGAATGCCTCAGTGGCAATGATGCCGCCGTATGAGTGTGCGATGCCAATGATCTCCTTTCCCTGGTCCGCCAATTCTTGGATCGTCTCCCTGATACACCGAACATCTGCATCTGGCGGGTTTTCCGGAGAGGGGTTGCCGCCAGACGGCAAGCTCGGACAGACGCACGGGTATCCTTTCTTCTCGAGGATATCTAGGAACTCCCGATAGTGAGCAGGGGAGTGCCAGGCTCCATGGACGAGGATGACTGTAGGCTTCGACATTTTGGTGTGCTTGGGGGATCAGTTTACTTGATCTGTCGCGGGTCGCGGGTCGCTCAAGTTTATGGGCAATCCTTTCTGCGCATCAGCATTAGTCTCGCGGCTCATTTGCTTGTGATTACTCCGCCTTCAACTCATGTTATACTTTGTATTTCTGAAAGATAGGACGAATGAAGCCTTGTGGAAGACCATAACTTTGTTGACATCTTGGCGAGCTGGATGCTTAAATTAGAACCCCGATACATCTCAGTGACCCGTCATACAGCACTGTGATTAACATTACTACGTGCATTCCTCCGCCTTTATTGCAGGTATCTCCCATGATCCTCTAACCCTCAAAGAAGCGCAACAGCAGCGGCAACACCCAGCGCAGCGGCTACGCCAGCCCTTGCCGTCGGCCCCGCTCCCGCCGGTGTCTCCGTCCCCGAGGCTGCCGCGCTGCTTCCGGTGCCAGTAGCACTTCCGCCCGTAGTCTCCGTCGCTACCGATACGCTTGTCGTAGGAACGGTGGTAGCTTCGACGCTGCCGCCAGATGCCGATGGGCTCGAGCCCGTCTCCGAAGCGCCCGCTTCCGTTGCCCCGCTCTCAGTCGATGTCACCGTCACAAGCGCAACGGTGCTAGTCTTCGTAGGTGTAACGGTGACCACTGTGCTTACCGGGGCGGCCGGATCTGTGGACAGAAAGCTCGCTGTTACGGTTTCCGTGCCGGAGTACATGGGGCACCCGGGAACCTTACGGGGCGGGGCACGACCGCCGCCGCAGTCGACGCCTCGGCAGATCTCGAGGGTGTCCGGGACGTACCAGATGACCGTCTCATACGTGTTGCCGTAGCCGATCTCGGTGCGGACGGTGACCGTGGAGGTGAATGAGGTGCAGCCGTCGATATCTGTCTTGGCGAGGGCCAGACCGGCGGCTGCGACGACCGGGAGAATGTAGCGCGACATCTTCGTTATTGTGATTTGCGTTTGAAAGGGATTGTGAAATTACTGCGAGCGCGATACCTGAATTCGAAGAAACAAAAAAATGAGTGAAGATGTGGGTAGCGAGAGAAGAAACCCACCACATGTAGGCGGCAGTCGCGTCATTTTAAGCATCGCGAATGAGGCCAGACCCATCATAAGCCTACAGGCTGAATCCAGTCGAGACCCCTACGATGAATCCTTCGCCTCAGCAATTCAACATGCCCTGGTAGAAAAAGCTGAAAGTAAGCCAATTTGGGATACGTCGTGCCGCATCGGCGCATCATTTGAGTAACATCGGTTGCTTTCCATCGCCGTAGGGCGAAAAGAAACGAGCAAATAAGTGACTTTGGGCTCGCTTCTGCTGACTGCATGCTATTTAAAATGAGAGTGCTTGGCAGATTGTGAGGCTAGTGAGCCCAAGTCAAAGCGAATTGGGTGAGTGAATTCTCCCCTTGCAGCAATCGAAAAGTAAATACGGCCCGATTCCCCAATTGATATTTCGTCCATTGGCTTTGGGGATGCTGGTTGTTACACCAGCTCATTATCACGATTTATCACGAGAACATGGTGTTTGACCAAGCGCAGCCACCCGGCTCACCTCCATGCAAACCCCTGTCCCAATAAGTGGGCTGGCCCTGCCATCAAATGAACGCATGTATTTGGCTGCACCGGACGAACCACATTGATCATACTCAGACGGTAGCTAGAGAATTGGACGGATTTATACGAAAGAGATGAAGACGTATCAACCAATATGACGTGCCGGATTGGCAACTGGTGAAATGTAAACGATCTCCAGCCCGCTCTTCGGCTTCGGCACTTGTTCAAGCGCCGACCGGCCCCGCGCGGAGAAGCCCGCTCCGGGGCGGTTAGCGGCATTACTTCATGCATGGATCGTTGATAAAGCGGGCTTTTTTCTTAAGTCCATGTGAATTGTGCTGCTATTCGATGCAATTTGAGTGGTGTTTCAAATTCGCCGTAGTATCGATTACAACTCCGCGACTACGGTGCATATGTCTGGTGCCGAAATCCGCTTGATGATCGACGGAAGGGCTCCGTACGGAGGGTATCAGAACCCGATGAACCCCACATCAGATGGCGTTAATCTGAAGTAAAAAGGCCATGATCCGTGGCGCTGAAGAGGTAAAGTTCAGGTCGCAACCGTTGGTGGCTGCCTTAACTGGACGTTCATTTTCCAATATCCTACCACCAAAGTCTGGTCGCCTTCGAGATTTCCAAATCCGCGATGTTGCCACACCGGGAAAATGGAGCTGGGGGACTCTCCCTGGCAGTGATGGCACCAATTGTCACAGCTGGTTCTGTAAGCTCTTCTATCGCAGTCAAGTAGATGAGTCGCCACTCACGACGATTCACAGCTCCTGGCCTATCTCCTCGGCTACGCCATCTACCAACTTTTCTTCAGCCCTCTGCGCAAGTTCCCGGGTCCCAAGCTCTGGGCAGTGTCCTATATCCCTTACGTACGCCTCTACATCTCCGGCAACGGTCATCGAAAGATCTTGAAGCTCCATCAGCAGTACGGCCCTATCGTCCGGGTCGGTCCAACCCACATATCCGTCAACCACCCCGACGGCATGCAGGATGTGCGCGGCCACCGCAAGACAGGCGAGAACCCCAAAGACCTGCTTAACTCCATCCCCAATCGCGACAACATCATCGGCTCCAATCGTGCAGACCATCAACGCTTCCGCCGGGCCCTCGCTCACGGGTTCTCAGCTCAGACCATGCTGGCACAGCAGCCCATCATCAAGCAATACGTCGACAAACTCTTTGAGAAACTTCGAGAAACATCGCAAGGTGGATCTCGTCCGGTCGATGTCGAGAGGTGGTTTAACTTCACGACGTTTGACGTTATTGGCGATTTGGCGTTCGGCGAGCCGTTTGGGTGTTTGGAGAACGAGACGTATCACCCATGGGTCGACATCATCTTCAAAAGTATCAAAAACATAGCTTTCCTGACTAGCAGCAGACGACTTTCATGGGTGGGGCCTTTGCTTATGATGACTGTCCCTCGCAGCCTGGTTACCAAGTTTGCAGAGAACAAAGAGTTGTCTAGAGAGAAGCTGCGGAAGAGGCTGGATCTTGGGACCAGTCGTCCTGATTTCATCGATGCTATGATCAGAAAGTCTGAATCGGCCGGTGCTGTAAGTTTGAAATGCAATGAGAGCTGATGTGGAGATCTGGTTCTGATCATTTACAGACGTTAACTTTCGAGGAGCTCACGTCGAATGCGTTCGTTTTGATTGTCGCTGGCTCTGAGACGACGGCCACATTGCTGTCCGCCGCCACCTTTTTCTTGGCAACCAATCCCAACGCCTTGGCGAAGCTCAACGACGAAGTCAGGTCAGCATTCGAAAGCGAGGACCAGATTGACATGCTCAGCGTCCAAAATCTCACGTATATGTCGGCTGTGCTGGATGAGAGCATGAGGCTGTATCCTCCCGTTCCCAGTTCCAGCCCGCGTATGGCCGGAGAAGGGGGCGACGATATTCTGGGCGAGTTTGTTCCGCAAGGGGTAAGACATCTTTCTGCTGGAATGTTTATGGGTAGTGAGACGGTGTTTGAGCTGACTTGAATCCTCATCTTAGACAACCATCGACGTATGGCAATGGGCTGTCTACCACAATCCCGACCATTTCGCCAGAGCAGAGGAATTCATCCCTGAACGGTGGCTGGATGACCCGAGGTTTGCCAACGATGCGAAGAAAGCTCTGCAGCCTTTCTCAATTGGCCCCCGAAACTGTATTGGAAAGAAGTACGTTGTTTATTTGCGTTGAACTCCGTTCCCCTTTCATCGAGCCTTTGCTTACACAAGTTCCGTCTTTACCTAGTCTTGCCAACGCAGAGATGCGCCTGATCTTGGCCAGGTTGATCTGGAATTTTGACATCCGTGCCACAGAAGACATCCAGAAGTGGTATGATGAGAGCGAGGTTTATATTTTGTGGCAGAAGGGACCTGTGAATGTGTACCTGGCACCCAGGGCCTGATGGTGAACCTGGACGCGTCCTATCGTCTTGAATGCTGGATCAAAATGAGAATCCATCGCGAATTCATAAGCTTCGTGGTTATGTATAATCACCGTTGCAAAGCACTATCAAAATCATTTACACGGAGTGTCCTCCATCCATTCCTTCTTCCAAATCCAGAACCACCCTGGCAAGCCCCATGGCGATGGATTCATGGTTCCTGCAATACCTAATGGAGTGAACCAACCACGATAATTACACTCAACCCCCCTTGGGCTGATTTTCTTTAGCATGATGCTCTGCAGCGACGTATCAACTTCACCGTGAAGAGCAAACAGACCAGACGGCTCTTTGCAATTATCGGCAATGACCTCGATTGTGCCATCAGCGGACTCCTTAGCACCAAACCTGAACTGTATGTTCTCAATCGGACCAGTCTCGAGAAACGTCGCTTGATTGCGCGCTGTGTCCCAAGTGAAGTATCCATACCACTCTCCATCCTCCATTTCTTGTGTTAGGTGGCGGACGTACCTCCGGTTCCACCGGTCCCATGACCCAGTCGATGAAAACGCCGTGAGCCTTCGCTCAGCCTGCTCCGGCGACAACGGGTCCGGCAGCGGCACAATCGCACTTCCCGCTTCATCATGCACCATCGCCAGCGGGAGCTTCCGCGGAGACGGCAGATATTCGCTCGCCGGCCTTGCTGAGAAGCTGCTTCGGAGCAGGTGCGCAAGCAGGACCTGCACCAACAACGCGGCCGTCTGCCTCCCTTCCCACGACGTCTTGAAGCGGTGGAAGGCGGTGTGCGTGTCGTCCCAGGTTGCCATCTTGGAGAGGTGGTATGCCATGATGCCTAAGTTGTTCAGGACCTGAGTCTGTAGCAAACCTAGCGCGAGGACGAAAGCTTGTTGCCGCACGAGCCTGTTGATCTGGGGTAAGACATGGATGTACGAGGCCCAGTTGTGCGGATCCGTGAGGGTTATAAGAAGACCTGTCGTCGCTGCGGCGACTCCTAGATCAATCGAAGGGATGTCTTCACTCTCATGTTAGCGAGGGGTTCAACAGGGGATGAGCGAGAGCTTACAGCCAAGGACGGCGAAAGTGGAGAATGTGCCGATCAAAGCTTGGGTCTTCCGGAGGAGTTCGGAGCTGGGGAGCTTGACGCTCCCGGCGGATTGCCAAGACACTGCTCGGTAGGGGAGCATGAGTTCATCGAGTTCGTCTGAGAGGTTTGGGAGGGTTGAGGCGACAGCGGCGAGGTGGGACCAGATAGTTCTCGCGTCGGATTCGGGGCGGCTGATCAAGGCGCTGTTGACAATATGCGCCAGCGTATACTTGTTGGGGATTGTTTTAGATTCGGGATCGGGTGCCTGGTAAGTCTGTAAGATGAAGCAATTGTGTCTGTGGTAATTGGCTCTTACATGGTGGCAGAACTGAGCTTGAAAAACAAAGGGATTGCTGCATGACATGCGGATAGCGCGGGACACGCAGGTGAGGGCGTGGACGTCGGCGACATCGCAGTACGATGCGATGCGGTGAATGAGCTCGGTCGGGAGATTCTCCAGAGATATTGCCAGCTTACCACCTAGACTCAGCTTCGCCATGTTGATCTCGTTGTTCATATTCGTTACCCCAAGTGCCGGCATACCGCTGAGCTTTTGGTGTTTCAGATGGGTGATGCCTAGAGAAACAATACGCCATGACCCTCTTGAGGGGCGAGTCAGCTTTTGAACATGTGCACTGCCGCCAATGAGGGGTCGTTAGCGACATGGCCTCAGACTAGGCTGCAATAAGCAGATATTCATGAAGGCTTATTCCAATATTGATAACGCTCATTACATGATAGGAGCGATCGTCGTATTAATATGTAAGTCTAATGCAATTACAATTCATCATAAAAGTCGTCGCAGGCCGTAAAAGAATGAAGGCCGATTCACATCGGCGACGACTATGCCACTTCAGGACCAATCTAGCTCTTTTACTGGTCACACCTGACGACCAGCCGATTGAGTAGAATCGATTTACTGCGCCTTCTTCGCCTTGGCAATCCTGGCCTCGCGCCTGCGCTGGTGGGCTTCGGCACCGGCCTCCGTGTCCATGATATAATCCCACCACCTGAAGCTCGACGCATAGTTTCCGATAAACTTCTCGTGGTGCACATCGTGGTGCTCGGCTCCGGCCCAGAAGGGGAGGAAATGTCTCAGGGACCAGGGGAAGTCGTATCCGGAGTGCGAGTCGATGGCCTGGAACAGGCGCAGCACGATCCAGAGGTACATCGTGAACAGGTGCAGGTCCTTGGTGATGAACACCCAGAGGATAGGCGAACCGACAGTACCGAGGCCGAGGAACATGACCTCGATCGGGGAGGCGTATTCAGCGGTCATGCCGAATGGGGCGGAATAGTAGTGGTGCATCTTGTGTACGGCCTTGTACAACGGCGGCCAGTGGGCGCCGCGATGCATCCAGTAGTGCCAGGTATCTTCGAGAACGAAGAAGATCGCGATCTGGTAGGCCATCTTCCACGCTGGCGGGAAGGGTACGCCATAGCCAAGGCCGCACCAGGTCGCAATGGGGTGGAAGAGCCAGATTTGGGGGAGTTCGACGGTGAAGTGGCTGAAGAGGACGAGGGCGCCGCATTCGAATTGCTCCTTCCATGTGGGGATTTTTTGCTGTGGGTTTGATGAGTTAGTCGACAGGTCCTTCAAAGCCCGGGTCGGACTCCGGTGTTTGTGGTGATGAGGATCCTCCTCCTCCGTGGAGCATGGATGGAGCATACCTGTTGAATCTTCCATCTACGGAAAAAGGGGATCGCGTCGATTATGATCCAAGGCAGACTGCGGCCGAAGTAGACGACCTCGTGCATAACGAAGGTCATGATGCCCGTTGCGAGGATGTCGTTCTGCATCCACAGGTACCAAGCTGCCCAGAGGCGCTCAAAGGTGTTGAGCTGGACATTGTACCTGTTGACGTCGTCGAGGACGCCGAGGTAGCTCTGGTGAGAGGCGGTCTGGTTGGGGAACACGACGGTGGCATTCCTGTAGGAGTTGTGTAAGCTCGATGCGACTCTTTCGATTCGGTGCGACTCGTGGTGACCTACCAAGTTACTGAGGTCGCCATGGTATCGGACGCAACCTCTGCTGCAAAGGAATGACGGGAAACACACAAAACACAAATGCGCAACGCAACTTTGATTTCGAGATGCGAACAACTCGGACAGCAAAGGGGGCGAAAGAAGTATATAAATCAACGCGCCGCAGTGGAGAAATTGCTTCCTTCTGTTGGCGGGCTTTGGAACATGTCCCTTTTTTCTGGAAGAAAGCGGCGTGTGTGGCAGGGGTGTGCAGACGCCGATGGCACGATAAAAATTCATCGGCATCCGCTCTGGTGTGGTACGACAACTTGCATGTTTTCCAGCGAATCCAAGCCCTCAGGGGACCGCCAAACCGAATACGAATGACATTTGGACTCTGACACTTCCATTGGTCAAAATGGAGAATTGATCAGATTGGCGAATCTGGAGACGGGAATTGATCAACTTTGAGTGTTTTTACCATCAGATTTGAACGGTTCGCAGCTGAAGAGCAGGCGATTGAGACCCGTTTTTGAGAACGCCCTCACCCCGGGCGACCCACTTCCCGGTGGTGTGTTTGTGGTGTGATTTTCCTCGCCGCCTGTTTGGCTCCGAGATTACCGGCTTCCAGGGGAAGCTGCACCTGCGCATGTTTGGCTGCTGTTAGGTGTCTTTGCTGGTGAATATTCGGTGAGTGCATGTCTCGTTCATGATGAGTGGTGACGAGCTAGAAGACTACATCATGAAGGTTCTGATGTGTTCGCCAAATTGACAGCAGCCATGTTGAGCGTTCCGTGGTTCAGCGATCCCAGCCACAATCTGTGATCACTGTGAATCACTCTGTCAAGGTGATGGACCTGTTCAGCTGAAGCCCGGCGTCAGCCCCACTCCATGATGTGATTGTGCGTCGGCATCGGGTGCCAATCATCCGGGGGACACATCCACTTCGGCCGGTGTGTCTTGATCCTCTCGGAAGCAGACCGGGTCTGCAAAGCGGAAGACGTGTTCTCCGACTGAGGGTCACGCTCCATACGGCGAGAGACGCGCGGGGATCACGTTATGCTCTTCCGGTGGCGTCCAGGGCGGGCAAAAGTGGGACTCGTCGGCGGCGTAGACGGGTACCCAGCCGGTGATGGATGCGCCAGACTGGACCTGCGGTGTGTGGAGTTGATTCAATTGAGAAGGATCAGTTTGAGATCTTCAATGAGGAACCGAGAGCTGATCTATTTGGCTTCCAGGTTCCCAACTATCCCGTCGGCTTCCGCATAAAGCCCGAGAGCCTTACCCACCTTATGATCCAGTTTTACCCCAAATCCAAGCATCTACTCTGGATTACTCCGTTGTTTGTGAAGAATTGCTCTGTGTTTCGGTGTGCTCCTCAGATTTATGCCGATTACATAAGGATATTCATTGTTTCTACTCCACCAGAGGTGTACGAGCGTCTCGTACAGCCCGACGGGATACACTTCTAGGAAAGTATGATTGATCAATTGCCCCATGACAACAACTAATCAACTCCGATTACTAGCACAATTGCTCGGGGACTTACTGATCATTTCCTCAAGTTCCATCTATAAATATCAAGTTCATCCAAGTGTGAGCCAAAGTAACAACACCCTCAACGCCACTCTAACTTAGTACGCTTTTGTTATCTCTGAACTGCGATCCATTTCAAGTTCGCCAGGTACGCGAAAAACGACTCAACTCTCGCACTGTCCCAACGACATTTCTAACACTACACAGAATGAAGTTCCTGTTCTTCGCTACGCTCATCGCGCTGGTCAGCGCCAACCCGGCTCTCAAGACTTACGCGAGGGACTCTGCCGAGCTTAATCACCTTGAAATCCGACAAAACTGCGCTTACTCCATTTGCCAAGGTGGATGTGGAACGTGCTACCAAAACACCAACGTTTGCTGCCCCCGCGACATCAACCAATCCTGCTTCCAGTTTTCTTGCTGAGCGACGACGGGAGGGAAGACAAACTAGGAATCATCCATGAATGGCTAGAAGTCGGGAGATTAGTGGGAGTTTGTTCTCAGACACGATCGTCTTAGGGTAGACCATACCCACATGATCCTCAATTGTAGATGAGACCCCGTCGGTCGTCATTCTCAATGGCCAAGCGTAATCTTCCCTGTCTCTACGATTACCGTGAATAGTCTGCGACCTTGTCTTTTTATTCTTGGTCTGCTTTGACCTTCATCCATCCCCGCGTATGGTGTCTAAGGAAGGGTGGGGAAAAGTCTGAAGTGCCTGGTGGTAGCATAGAAGGTTTATCCTATAATTCCTTACGAGTCATTTGTGCGATGCTACGCTGGTGATGTTAAGCCCTATAGACAACGCTAGCAACTTCAGTAGATAAAGTTAACATTATTCATAACGTCACCCGTTTGCAATATCACCCAATGCATTGTCCCTAGCATTTGATGGACTTTCCTGTCTAGCTTCAAGCTTGGCGGAAAGAGTTTCTACCTTTGAGCACGCGCAAAGGTCTCTTGAGATTCGCATAGGTCAGCGTCGCCTTTTCCAGTAATACCATCCCCCAGGTATCTTCACCCTTTGCAGCCCTGTAGGCAATGTCTCGATGTCACCAGAGACAGCGCCACCATTTAGTAGAGTCTCACATATCCTGCGGAATCCATACTCTTGCGCTATTTCCAATGCAGTCGTATCGTTCTCACTTCTCCTATTTATGTCAAAGTCCACATGACTTATCAACAAGTCTACGATATCGCACTTGCCATACATGATGGCTTGTCGCATGATAGAATGGTAAAGAGGTTGAGAGTCGCTTGGATTCGAGTTTTTGATCATTTCGGAAGCCACATAGTGCGGTAGGCTCGGACTTTTGTTTTCGAGTGCCAATTGCAAAGCAGATTGGTACATAGACTGGGGGTTATCGATGTCCAGCTTTGATAGGAACACCTTGACGACTTCTTCATGTCTTTCAACGGACTCGTCTCGTAGCTTACTCAAGGAATAACAGCGCTCTAAACTTGACAATGCCGATTGTACCGGCAAATGATTGTGGACGTCTTTTTCGTTTGGGTTCTGACCCAAATTGTTGATCACGTAGTACACGACATCGACGTTGCCTGATCTTGCCGCAAGCGAAAGAAGGGGTTCTTCTCTGCCTTCAACGTCAACTTTGGCTCCGTAATTGTGCAGTCTGATGACCACATCTAATCGTCCAGATTCGACAGCGCAGCGTAAAGGAGTTTTTCCCAGACCATCGCGTGCCTCGAGATTCGCCCCAAAGCGCCAAAGGAGCTCAACAACGCCGACCTTTCCTTTCGAGGCGGCATATAGCAAGGGTGTGTACGAAACCAAAGACGGCTCGATCTGAAGACCCAATTCCGCTATTGTCTCTATGCTGAAGCCCTCTGCAGTATTGTGCTGGCCTACAAGCGCTTTGAGTACTGATGTGTCCTCCCGTGAAGCTCGATCAACGAGTGGCCAGGTTTCTCTGGGGACCTCCGCCCGAAGCTGTTCTCGAGCGCAGAATTTGATTAGTACATCAACTGTTGTAGCGGAGCGGGCTTCAACAGCTTCCGCAAGCATCGCGCGAATCGCTGAATGAGGGGCTGGGTTTTGAGAATGGAAAACGTTTTCGTGAAAGGTTTCAGGCACCCTCAATTGACGCAGAAGAGCGGGTGAGTCAAGGAGTAGCTTGACAACATCCGCATGACCCTCTCGTACGGCGAAGTAGAGCGGCATTCTTCGAGGGTCACCTTCGTACGCGAATGTTTCCTCTGGCGTCAAGAACCGTCCCTCGAAAACATGCAATATCCCGAACAATGCAGCTATATGAGCTCTTTTAAGAGGAACCTTCCCCGTACGCGCTTTTGTAAACATTTTCCAAGATGTGGCAAGGGCCGCTGGGTTGTCAAGAAACTCCCAGACACAATAAGGAAACCGCCGAGCGTCTCGAGCGTGGTCTCCCCAGTGCTCGGCCGCATATTGCCCAAAAGGGATGTTCTTATCAAGTGTGTGTCCGAAATGGATATTTTGAAGTTCGCCACTGTACCGTTCTGCAGACCGTCGAGTTTGGTCAAAAGAGAGATAGCGCACACATATGCTTGTCATCTCAGCGTCTGCCCCCTGAAAAACTCCGGCGTTGTTCTTCTCGGCTTCGAAAGATTCCACAGTAGCCTGGTGAACAAGGCGGACATTTGAGTGGGCATCTACGCGCACCAGTCCAAGGCAGACAGATAGAATGTCCTCTGCCGAAAAGATGTTATCCTCGTAGATTTGCTCTTCGTCTTCAGTTGCAAGAGCATGCTGGAGCTCTGCGATCCACAAGGGCCTTTTGGCGCACACGACCCATGAAATTACGCTCATAGCAAGCCTGGCGTCGGTCTCGTTCTGCTTTTTGACTCTCATCCAGGCATCATGGTAGTACTCGGTGTATCTCCGAGGCGCGCCATACAAGGCTTTCCGCACTTGTCTCGGCGTGCGCATATCCTTCACCGATTCAACCATGAGCTCAGCCAAGAGGAACCTAGGCCAATTAGTTACAAGACAAAGTTGGTGGCGGAGACCTCTGCACTGACATTCCTTTGGCTCTTTTTGAAATAACGCTTGTAATCTCTTTCTGAAGAAGAGGGTCGTCCCGCTCCTTGAACCTCATACTCGGTATGCTGCTTGAAACAAACTGTCGCACATCATCGTCCCGAGCCCGGATCTCGAAATACCGACAGCGATTCAATTTCGCATCGTTTACAATTTCAGAAATTGGCCGCGTAGTCAAGAGCACATTAGCTTCCCCGTCCCGTTGTAACTGGGAAATCCATTGTATCAACTTCCGCAGCACATTAGGTTGGCACTCATCCAAGCCGTCGACGATAATGAACAGGCGACTGGTACAGATAGTTGCCAGGCGGAAGAGTAGATCAACTGTTTCCATTTCTCTGCGGGAACTGTGAAGCTTTTGGTGCATCTCGTACAACTCCCGTACGCTGGCAGGGATCTCGCTTTGCGCCTGGACCAGCTGCTTTGTTACGTTGGAAACATAGCGATGAAATGTCCCCTCCTCCTGGTCCTGGG